CGCGTGAATGAAGACTCGAAGACTGCAATCATCCGGCAGCTTCGCGCGGAAGTGGCCAGCATGAAGAAGGAGCTAGAATACTACAGAGGATTGGCTGCTGGAGGCCTTGGCGAAGTGAGATGTATACCACCTTTCAAGAATAGCCTAGCGGATGTTTCTGAGAATGGACGGGTTAACGAGCTTGCGGAGAAGCTCCTCATGGCATGCGAATCCCTAAAGAACATCTTGTCAATTAATGGAAAACTTCGGAACGCCCTCGACACGCTGACAGAGACAAAGACAGACCTTGAGAAGCGTGAAGTTGAGCTAAATGCGGAAAACCTGGCGTTACGTGAGCGAATAGAGATGCTTGAGTCGATTGCACTCAAGGACGATTTTGTAGAAAGTTCATCTAGTCAGTTGAATGGGCGAGATGTAGCGAAGCACCACCATCAACGCAGGGCACCAAGTGTAGAGTCGGAATTCTCACTCTTCGCGCCAAGAGACGTGTTGCCAGATCGCCCGTCCACCGCTCAGGCGTCGGCGCGTGGACGCAGTTCGGGGTTCCCACTGAAGCGCTGCGCGCTGAGTAGTGTAAGAGAGAGTAGCGAAAATAAGATGAGCGTGCGTAACACACAGTCTGTGCAAGCAGTTTGGGGGTCGGACGCTCCGCAACCCCGCAGGGAAAGTCAATCTGCGGACGGGAGGCCCTTCAGTAGAAAGATCTCTCTTACTGCGGCAGCGGCGGCGAATAAGCAGCGCAAGGAACAGAAGCGTTCGACGCTCGCGAAGAAGTTGGAGGAGTACACGGATCGTTACTGTAAGCCAAATCACTTTGCAAATTATGCGGAGTACTATGGCAAGGCGCGGCAAAAGGTCCCTGTGAACCGTGCAGCGGCGGCTTCCATTAAGGGGATGGAAGACACACTAAAACAGCTGCCGTACACCATCGCGGAAACAGTGCCACAGTCGTTAAAACTTGCCTCGCAGTTCGGAGCACTTACCTTTGGCGGGGTGAGTGAAGATGTGGTGGATTTAGAGCAGCGGCGCCAGCAGCGCGAGGCGAAGCGGAACGCGCTCCTCGCTCAGCAACAAGCCCTTCGCCTCAACGTGACCCAGGCATTTATGAACGTGACAGAGCGACTGGATGCTGCTCGCTCCTTCCCTGCGTTCTCTGCTGCTCCTGCAGTGGCGAACCCGTACAGTGACGCCTCTGCGGCCTGGTCGAAGGCCCCACAGTCACTTAATTTGTCACCAATGCCAGTTGGCAGCAGCACCAGCCGACTCCGTGCGTATTTGGCCCGTGAGGAGGCGGTGTCGTTGCACAGCAACGCCCTTAACGCACTCCGTGATGCCACGGGACAGCACAGAGACGGGTGCTGAAGCATCGTATTATCCTTTCTCTCCCTCCACCTATCCATCGCACAACCACACGTGTATTAGGGCGTTTATGTTCGTTTTGTTGTTGTTGTTGTTTTGGTGATGACGCTGTTTGGTCTGTGTCCTTGTGTTCGATCGGCTTGATCGACCAAAAGGCAAGTGGAGGGCAGAGGGGTGGGGAGGCCCAAAGGTAAAAAAAAAAAGGAATGAACGCCCTTAAGGCGTGTGTCGGTGGGTGTCATTGTACATATGTGCGTGGGCGACCGGAGCGCTGTTTTATAACAACGACGAAAATGGGGGGAAGTTCTTTTGCACGTCATGCCGATGGGCGCATGTGTGTAACACTCTGCTCTCTCCCCCACATCTTGCTGTTGCCTCACTGTCTCCATCGCTATGTTCTCCGTGCGCAAAGATCATCTATCTGCTACAACAGCACCACCAGAAATTAAAACAAAAAAGCACATAAAATCATGAGCCTCGAGAGCGCCTTCTACGCCTTCGCATCCTTCGGCGGTGCTGCCACGAAGGAAATGGACAACTCCCACTTCTCCAAGATGCTGAAGGAGACGAAGATCATCGGCAAGGTTTTCACCAACACCGATGCCGATCTTCTCTTCAACAAGGTCAAGGCAAAGGGGGCCCGCAAGATCACATTCACGGACTTCACCACCAGGGCCGTCCCCGAGATTGCGGCGAAGCTGAAGAAGTCGGTGGAGGAGGTGAATGGCATGATCGAGCAGTCCTCGCCCGTGGCACACGGAACGAAGGCGGAAGCGGTGAAGTTCCACGACGATAAGAGCATGTACACCGGCGTGTACAAGGCGGGCGGCCCGACGAACGTGGATCGCAACGCCGGCTCCCTTTCGGGCGTCGTCGACCGGCGTGTGTCACAGACAGACGTGCGCGGCACCACCGCCACGCAGAAGTGAGCGCGCACCGGCGGCGGCGGGGGG